TGACTCCCCGCATTGCTTGTAAAAATAAGAGACAGAGTTATACCATAAAATGAGGAACATGTTCTCTGTCGTTACATCACTGAGTATTCCTGGTACATGGGTGACTTCCTGCTCTGGCCACTCATCAAAATTGTTTGACAGCAGAGATGGATAAAACATTTCCTTTGCGGTGAGCCTGGGGCACCCCATAGTAGAAGTTGTTGTGGAAGGAGGACTGAGGAACCTGTGAGAGGGCTTGACTGGTGACTGTTCCACTGTGATGGGGAAGGAACCCAGTTTAAGCCCTAAATTAGATTTTCCTAATGTTAGCCACAGAAGTTGCTTCAATACGTTTGAATTTTTATAACAATTGTGTGTAGGTGTCGCCTTCCCCCCTGCAAGAAATATTCTTAGTATTAAGCTTAAAATTAATATTGACCTAATATTCAGTTTTTTCTATGTCTTGGAACATGCCCACAGGTTGGGAAGGAGAAGGGAAAAGAAGGCTTGAGAAGGATGAAATGTTCTCTTCACTGTGTTGTGGCAGCCCTGGGCTGTGTTCTCAGGGTATCGGTGTAAGGCTTGAATGCTGTAACTAAGAGCTTCTTTATGGTTGGACATGACTGAAAAGTTGTATGCTATGCTATGACCGCTGTTTTTCCATTGAAGTTGTCAGCTTTATTTACTGTATTTAAAAACTCAAAAAATAGTATATGCTATTCAGTGTGAAAGGTTTTGTGGAAAAAAATTTCCTGTGGTCCTTGTGGTATTTGGGCTTGGACAGTCACAGATGAATTGTGCTTAATCTCTAGTTGGAAACTTCCGTGTGGTATTGAGTTGGGTTATTTTTGCATTATTTTTGATTTGTTGAAAAGCAATATATTGAAAACTAAAATATCAAGCCCCTAGATTCATTAAGTTTCAGACTTTCCATTAAAAGGCTTGCTACTTGATATACACCGCTACAGTGCATCATCTCAGATTATCCCAGACTTGTCTGATACGATGTGTAATGTGACTACAGAACTGGATTTGCCATGATGCAGCATGACTGATCAGACACTAGAATGTGCAAGAGTTTTCCTGTCCACAGTTAGCACTGCAGTATATATTTTTCTACAAAGCTTTCCTTATTCCACCTCTACGTTTTACAGTAGATAATACACATTATCTTTTTATTTTTGCTGTAGTTTTTTCTGGTTTTTGCTGTATCATCAATTATCTTTCTATATTGTGCTTCACTTTACAGTACTCTGTCTTCAGAGTAAGGAGATTATTTCTTCTTTTGCACTGTTCTTTTCTACTGCCTTTATCAGAATATCGATGACTGGAAACTTTGCTTTCGCATAAATGTGAATGCTTTCTTTTTTTTTGAGCAGTGATGAAATGCCTTCTTGTCTAACATGACTCAACTGAATACAATCTATCTAAATATTAGTATTTTTAGTAGACTATTTCTTTATGAAGAGAATCATGAGATAATGGGTAAAATCCTGATCTTTTTGAAATGTGCTGGACTCTCAAATTTGAGAATATATTTTGCTGATGTGTAAACTGAAATAAAACATGTGACGTTTTCCCATTCCTGTTTGACCTCAAATCTGAGACAATTAGGATGAATGATTAGAAGTAGAAAGGAAGAGACAAAAGAAAAATTGAATGTTGCTCTTCTTGGTGAACGCAATGGCATTGTTCATTTCGAGACAGCTGCTTGGAAGTAGCTTCTAAGTCTGTGCAAAAAGAAAGACTGAGCAGCAGGTTAGGTTTCTTCTCTTGTTGATGCCTGCTTTTTCTGCACAGGATCCTCTGTAATATGCTGAGGCTCCAGGCCCTTCCAGATTCATTTAATCTATGGGTGATGTACTTCAGTGGCGTCTCCTTTGATTCACTAAACTTTTGTTATTAGGGATTTTTAGGCTTTTCCTTCTGGATGATGTGGCTTTGGGGGAAAAAAAGGGAGAAAAAAGATATCTCTTGAGTGGTGGAAGGAAGGGCTAGCAAAATTTAAAAGGTCCTTTTGGTTTATGAATAGTTGCTGTGTGCCCCCAAAAGAGCTACTCAGGCTCATGTCTTTTAAAAAAAGCTATTTTTGAAGATCTTTGTGCTAGCTTGGCCTTAGCCAACGAGGAAATATGTGAAGTTACATGGTAGTGAATTGATAGGGAGTATGAAAGATGAGTAGGTGGTGAAGAAAGAACAGGTTTTTAGATAGAGAATTTATTGAAGTAATTGTTAGAATCTTACAATCACTACACTAAAACCTGCTGGGGTTTAACGAAACTGAGGGATTCACTCTTTATGATAGATTTTTATGATCCTTAAGAACTGAGTAGTACTTGGAACCAAACTAGGTTCTCCTGTAGGTAATAGTGGACAAGATAAACTGAAGTTTGCATTGTAGTCCAAAGGTTGTATTGTATTATATGTTTTCAGTTTTGTATTCCTCTACTTATGCAAGTAGGACAAATGTATCCAAATTTTAGCTCGCGGTAGAGAGCCAAAGTTGTAAGTCTGTTTATCTGGATAAATCTTCCGTCTGGTTTAGGACATTATAATCCGATAGTTTAGCCCATAGGTGCAATAAAACAACTTGGGTTGAAAGAAGGTGGAGGGCCTTGTGACAGCTCTGCTGTGAGGCAACAGCCTCATTCCTTGCCAATTTAGCACTATGCTTTTTTTGCTGTCAAGAATAACTTTTTCTCTTAAGGACTGTAAAAGAAACTGAGTGGCTTTATAAAATATAAAGAAACTCCGATATTACTTTTAATGTAGAGACAAATGAACACAGTGTATCATCTTTGTTCTGTACTGTGTAGTGTATCATCAGTAGTTCATGTATTTCAATCTTTGTGGAAGATAGCCTGAGAGAAGAATGGAAGAGAATTTTTACATACGAAAGGAAGTTATATAGCCATATGCTTGTGTTAAACAACTGTCTACAGAGGTTGTCTTTTTTTTTTCTTTTCATCCACTATGCTTATTATTTTTGAGGATTGATCCTGTTCTGATTGAATGAATGGAATTTTTTCTTTGGTTTGTTCTTGAAAAATGGTCAGGTGGTTAGGATTAATTTGATATGCTTTCAAATCCGATGGTCTCTGCACGTTGGGCTTACACTTTTGACATGGTTTTGCAAGCTGTCCTGGTCTGAACCAAATGGTCATCAAAAAGCAGCTTTTGTTGGGAGTGTAAGTACTGTAATTTGTTCTAGGGAGTTTCCAGGATTGTTCGTAGGTAACTGTGTCGCCTAAGAGCTTTTAGCAGCCCTTTGGCAAACATGCTGTGAAATACAGGCCTTGCCCTGCAGAGTTAACAGCCCCAAAATAATATGTTGTTCTCCTGGTTTAAAAAGTTCGTTACTTTTTTGAGGTCAGTTTTATCCCGATACCTGTACCTTCTGCTGTGAATGGGTAGTATCCATGCCTGGTTTAGTTAGCAGGAGTTCTGGTATTGACATCTTGCATATCCTAGCAGAAAGAGAGACACTTGTGAGCTAGTTAAAACAGTACTGAGTGTAAGGTTATTCTCAAGCGTAAAAGCAAAATCCCATTTGCTTTTTGAGTACAGTTTCATTTTCAGCGTGTTCATTTTCAGCAGGCGGATTAGAAGACTGACCTTTCTGACACTAGGTACTTAAACAGATACTTTGAATGTTTTTTTCATAAGCCTTTTCATTCAGTCCTGGAGAGATTGATGCTTGCACGGTTACCTATATTTATGTTTCATTGCAATTTGTGTCTGGTCTGTGTTTTAGTCTCGAAGTTATTTATAATACATAAAAATGAAACTTGTCTAATATGTCTCTCCAACTTTAATGCGTGCATTTGTAATTTTGTGTGTCGGAAAAGCTTCTCGTCTTTCCTTTGAGTGTTGTAGAGTCTTGCATTATTATCCTCAGGAGTTTTTTCCTATTTTTATTCCTATGCATCATGCATTCCTATGTTTTTGCTAGAAAAATATCAGAAATTTAGGGAATCCTAAGCATTCCAATATAGATAATATTTAAAAATACATTAATCCTTATGATATATATTTTTTTCTTGTCTGATACAGTCTAGCTTAATATTAAATTATGCACCTAGCATTTCAGTGTTACTGGTTTTGACAGTCTTAAGCTAGCTTGGGGATGTTATTGAGTAAGAAAAAAGATAACGAATCAATTGAAAATTCCTGTTCTTCCCGCCAGTCTTGGAAATGGGAAGATGACAGAAAAAATTGAATGGATTACTTAATAAAATTTAAATAAACCTGCAAAGTCACCAGTGCAACAAAATGATGAGCAGGTCATTTTTAAATTCCACTCCTGCTTTTAAAGGGGATCAGTAGGGAGGATAAGCAAAACACATGTACAGTCATGGACCAGTGCTTTGTACATAAATTTGATCTTTGGAAATAAGTCTGCCAATAGCGTGTTGGTATCTTAGCAGTGTGAATAGCAATCTTCTATTTTATTTGTTAAATTAAATGTGTGTGGCAGCAGCTGCAGGCATTGGACAACTCATTTAAGAAAGACTAGCCAAACCCCAGTAAATATTTTCTAATTGCTTTTGAAATCACTCGTGTTATCCAGTGTATTGCTGCATAATTGTGACCTAACTGTTCCAAATTTGCTGCTCGTGTTTTCAAATGTGGTGGTTCTCAGTGTGAGCTGCTCTTCCTTGTACATCCACATAACAAAATATTTGAGAATGAAAGTAAGCGTTCTTTAGATCCATAAAATGATCCTAGTTAGTTGAACAGGAGTAAAAACCAGATGATGTTTGTTTTAATATATAGTTTTCTAGTTATTGTGACAGCTAAGGTAGTTACAGCGTGTATTTTAAGGACCAGGTCTGCATAATATCAAAATTCAGATTTCGTTTTGAGGTGTGTGGTAAAGTCCATATTTCTGGTTCACCTCAGCGAAAAACATTAAAGTGTAAATAAAACTAGTTGTTTGTGGATTCAGATTTCCTGCTGTGAATGCTGCATTATGTTCCAGATTTCATCAGTTTAAAGCAGATTTTCAAATTTTTTTTTAGGTCAAACATACGGCCAGACTATGCGGATACAAGCTTTCATGAGTTCAAAATGCATACCTTCAGTCGCGTGACATCTTGCAAAGTCTGTCAGATGCTTCTGAGGTAAGTTTTTTAAGATTTTTCTTTTTTGTGAAATATTTGAGTCAAAGGAGTATGTGGAAAGACATGGCTAGCTGGTTACCTGTCCAAGACAGACAAGCCATGAAGTCATACGTAGTATTTCTTGTATTAGCAAGTTTTTCATTAAATTTAATTTCATTAAATTAATTTCATTGATCAAATTTCCAAAAATTAGGAGGAGTGCTGTGAAAAGCTGAAAACCTCAAGATGCTCCTCATTTATCAGAAGGCTGCTTTATCATGATTCTTTTGTGAGAATTGCTTTATTTAATATAGGAGTTTTTATGTAAGAGTAAATGACAACCTCGTAGAGTTTTGACTACCATGGCTGCTCCATGGGTCCCATTGCTGTAAACCACCAGTCACAAGAACAGATGGAGTATGTTTTTCAGAAAATCAGATGGTGACGATGCTCAGAAATGTTTGATATGGGGAGATTGCTTTGTGAGACAGAAAATAACTGAGGCATTAACAGGCATTTCTGAACCAGAGATATGTAGACAAATTGAAGATAGATGTTGCAAAGCTAGATAAGAAATGCTAGCAGACAACTAGTGCTTTCATGAACAAGGATTTGTAAGGCTAACTTCAGCTAAGAAATTCCATGTTTTCTGCCTCTCTCCTCTGAAACACACACATGCTTGCACGTCTGTAGTTTCTCATTTTATTATTTGAGCTGTCTTTTAGGAGCCTACCTTGTTTTTTTGTAAATATGGACTGTCCAATGCTATGGAGGTGTGTATTCAACCTAAATTCCATAGTGTAAGTTGGAGATGCAAAAGCTTGTGAACTTTGGCCAGTTCAGGTGCTCATGTTGCATATTGTTGATGCTCCGAAAAATGTAGCCACAGCATTTTAGAAAGGGCATTTGAAGTATGGGTAGTGCTTTTGTTAAGCACAGGCATGGAATAAAATAACCTCAGGGATGTTCCTCCCTGTCATGCATTTTTTTCTTTAGCAACCTTTTTCCTGAACAGTTAGACTGACCTGGATTTTTAGAGATTTTTTTTTTTATGATTTTTTTTTTTTCCCCTCAGTGCAGTAAGGTCTAAGTGACTATGAAGAGTGGTGCAGACATCCTGAACTTAGAGATGGCAGGGCTGATTTCTGAATTTGAAGCAGGATAGTTGAGTCATTGTGTCTCTGTTGCTGCACTAACTGCTGTTGCTGAGAAACGGCTGTCTTGCTTTCAGGACGCAGCCCGCATGACGCTGCATTGTTGTGCATAGGCATGCCAGTTTGCTGGAAGATAGCTTGGGTATCCCCAGGTGCTAGCTTGCGGTATATAGGCATGTCCCTGGATATCTAAGTTGCATTGAAAGCCTACTCGACTTAGCCTCATAAAGTGCCTAAATCACTTATTACAATGGATTGTCATTTTAAGCGTCAAACATAAGCTAATGTGTAAATACTTGGGAAAAAAAAATCTGAACCTTAGTGCCTAATCTTTAAGTGGGGATGAAATCCTAGTCTTAGAAGCATCTGTAGTGAAGGATAATGTTATGTCCTATACTTTTGTCTAGAGGATCTTGCATTCCTGAGTAGCAATAAGGAAAAAAATAAAAATGGAAAACTGCATTAAAATATTTTTATACTTTCTACTTATTTGTCTTTAAGTTTGTGTATTCCGATACTCAAAAATATACTGAGCTTCTGAAGTTAATTAAAAATATATTTCATCACTAACAGTCCAGAAATTGCTGTAGTAAATAGCAGTTGCTGTACATTTTGTTCAGGTTTAACTCGTTCAGTCCTGTGTTCCGAGACACCTGACTTTCCTTTGAGCTGAAGGTGTCACGTTAGACCAGGATGCATAATCACTCCAAACTGGTCAGGATAATCTTGGAGACAGACAAGTCTAGTGTGAAGAGTAAGCAGATACATCAGTAGATGGAACTCATATAATTGCTCAGAGATACATGTAAAAAAACCGTTTCCCTGTTAGCCATTCAGTGAATCGTACCTAAGAGAAAAGCCATGCATAAATCTGGAAATAAATTGGTTTCCTCAGACTCAAATTCAGATTCCATTTCATTAAGGGGAATTGGAGAACGTTTAGAGTGAGGAAAGTGACTCCTTATTTAGGAGCTCTGAGTGTTAACTAAAG